CGAAATATCACTTACTCGAACCGTCCTGACCGCGTAGCTCAGTTGCAAGAGCATTGGGCTAGTATTCCAAAGGTCGTAGGTTCGAATCCCACCGTGGCCGGGCATATTTTTCAAGCTCGGCCGGTTGTGGATATACACTCAGAGTAACACCACAAATATTGTATTAATATGTATTTTGCTATTCTTCAGTTGTGATTCAACAGGGGTAGGATTACGGTTGGAGTTTCGTTTCATTGGTTGGAAAAGTTCACTCTGGTATACACTGAAGAAGTTATTTGATAAACTGGAAAACAGCCCGAGAATTTTAGGCAACAAGATAATCCCGTACGACTATTTTTCATTACTTAACTAAGTGCTACACTTTCAACAGGCGTTCGACATTCCAATGTCTCATCGAAAGATAAATGACTCACCCTCAATAGCTAATGCGCTTCCATTGATTACACGCAATTACATTTCGTTGAACACAACTTCTGTTTTGAGATATATCCATATGGGAATTTCTGCAAGAAAATAAAATGTGTCAGTATTTGCTCTTGTGAACTGAACCTGAACGACGTCTAAATCTCCCAAAAAACTATAATTATAATTCATTTGTTTTGTAAAACTGATGTGATTCGGGATCACGGTATAAATCCAACGTCTTATTGAAGGACAAATTGAGGTACCTACCACAATAAGTTCACTGCATGCACGCAACTCCGTTGATTATAGGTACAACTGAACACAAACTGCTGTTTTGAACTTTTAATATTAATACCTGAAAGAAAATGTATATGTGCATATTAGTTTCAATTAATGCGAACACGTCAAGGAAAGAAAATGTCTTACCGGCATATAGACATATTGTCAGTGAAGAAAAAGACTCTCTACAAAGAACGAGTTCGGAGTTACGCCTCTCACTGCTCTCAGTCACAGCTTGTGAGTGAGTGGGTTTTCAGTAAGTTTTAAATTTTAAATCAGTGTATGTATTGTTCTACTTGGAAGAAATTATCATAATACTGTATATTGGAAGTGGAAGAAACGTTTTACAGTACGTTTGAGAAAGACTCTTGTTTCAAACGTCGGTTGAGGTGTTGCAAATAGAAGTTTAGATTACTTCTGGCCAAGGGTAGCATTATTAATTTTCGTAAATAAATTGAAAATGAAGCCATAACTCATAAGTCAATTGCAAACAATCATACATTCCTTTGAAGTACCCAACAGTGCGATAAATTGTTTTGAAATTTGTTTGGTATTTTCATGTTTTGTGGGTATTTCTGCTTGCTCGACCCTATTTTAACACAAAATGTTTGTTTGGAATAGTGTCTTTGCTTGGCACGAATCATCAAATATCTACATTTCGACTACAATCTCTGACTGTAGATTTCAAGCATTTGCAGTGCTAAAATAATCAGCCCTGATCTCATAACATAACTGCGATGTTGTAACAAAGTAAATAAAATAAGCGCTGTGATTGGCCGATGAGTGATGCAGAATGTACTATAGTGAGTCTCATCATAGCCTATCGAAGGGGAAATTGGTTGTGAAACTCATTAGAATAACAATAATTAACAGTTATTCTACGAACTCGAGTCGAATATGAGCTGATAGCCGATCGATGAGGCACGTAGCGCCGAATCGGCTATCGCTCATATTCGACGAGAGTCACATTGCTATTGGTTAGTTGGGCAAAAATACAATACACACGCGACGGACCATATTTATGAATAAACGTTGACTAACATAGATGAATTACATTGTTATTCTAACGAGTTTCACAGCCATCTCCCTTTCGATAGGCTATGGTCTCATGCAGCAATGCATTTGCGCCTCTTTGTAAATGTCAAGTAACATGAAATTATTGGATTTTACCACATAAGTAAGTCCAGAATGTCTGCAAAAACAGTACTAAAGAAGCTGCTTTTAACAAGCGACTTATATGAAGGCAGGAAAATTGTGAGAATGGCTCGCATTCTAAGGAACGTTCCTTTAGTGCAATCTGAGTTGGATCTTCAAACCGATTATCGATTTTCAGTTTCATTTAACAAAATCTGAAAATAGATTCGAATCTGATGAATCCACCTCAACATATGGATTTTTCCACGGATTTTTCGGATTCAATCTGAAACTCGATTAGGATTCCACGTTCCTTTCGAGCTTCTGGCCTTGACCCGACCGAAAAGTATAGTGGGACGTACAGAAAAATGGCGGGAAAACAGCAGGCGAATTCCGATTCTCACAAACGAATCCAACAAATCCGAATCCAAAAAATCCGAATCCTAGACATCCGAATCTAGATTTACAAAATAAACGCTCCCCTACTCTACCGACACTTTCTTTACATAACATTACTCTTAAGGGACAAAAGAATTAAAGAAATGGGACGAAATGAACTGTGGGCTATGCTGACAATTTCCCTGCGACATTTCAAGTCAGACCGTAGTATTAAAGTGCGGTGCCCTGGAGCATGCGCAAAACAAGTGCACCACAAGAGCGAAGACATAATAGAACGGCAAAAAACTCACGCAGCGAATGCACCGTCTGATATCGTGTCTCTGTATCCGAAATTACGTTACATGCAAGTTGCAGCAGTAATTGACTAATTGCCTTGTGTAACAAGAGTTTTAAGGCGCTATGTCACACGGGACGATTTTCAACGAGTTACACGAAATTTGATTGGTTCGGCGGCCCATTGCGTTGCGAATCGTCGTTGAAAATGAAATCGTTCCCGTGTTACACCACCTTCAGGGGGTGATTATGATATACGAGTATTTCATCACAAGACAAGGTAATGCACGAAATTAATACACAAAGTATTTATTTTCTCAAAGTTTTATCTATTATACATACAAAGGGCCTGAATGATAAAACACCTCAGAAATCTGCTTTGCATTGTACTTTAATTTGTAAATATTTGCTAAAATGTTTGTCGAATGCAATGCAAAATCAAATAGTCAATAAAATGAGTAAAACTAATTATACATGTAGATGAAGATTATGTGCATGTGTAACACTATCTGAATTAATGCTCTCAATTTTTTAAATTAATTAAGCTATCACTCTAAATAATTCTACTAATCTCTAGTCCATTGTACTTGTCTAATCTGACTGATCAATTGCTAACCTGACAGAATGTTTGAAGTAAAAATTATGTTTTTATCAGAGAAGTAAGATATGGTGTACCATCTAATACTATAGACATCTCACATCTTTCAATGTTATTTTATTTCTGCGTCAGTGGCGGATGCAATATTTTTGGGGTGCTAATTCAAACCACCCTTTTTTACAGCAAATCTCTGTCAGTTTCTAAAACTTTTTTGGCCTCAAGTTCGTGCAGTTTGCTTCAATAATATAGCCTATCAATTAGGCTTTCGTGTATATAAAATCATTGCAACAGCTATACAGCTTTGTTGCACAGTTAATCATATCAGCCTCCATTCAAAGGCTTCAAAAACTTAGTGGCGAGAGAGCGGTTCCCACCCTTCCTTGTGTCCAACACTATTTTCAATGACTATATAATTCTTTAAATATTTTACAACTATGGCTGAACTGCACACTGAATTAGGATAATTTTGAAAACCATAACATCACTTTTAAAACTTAAGTTTTAATCCATAAATCCAATGCCAATCCTATAATTCCAATCCTCTAATTCCAATCCTGACATAAACTTGCTCTAAACTTAAGTTATTGTAAAGCAAGTTACGCTGCTCTGAATTTGTTCGGTACATCTGCGAGGACCGCTCCCAGTTCTTTGCTAAATAAGAAACTTAATTTTTACTTCAAATGACTAAAAATGCGTATGATGATAATAATTTCTCATAAATTAACAGTCATATACATCCTTGGGTTCGGTAAAGTTCAATGTTACTTTTTACTATTTTCTAGAATTTGAACGGTATGTTGAAACAAATCCTCAATTGCACTGTCAACCCCTTCGTAACCTAAATACAAAGAAAATACAATATAGTAAGTGCATATTCTAAACTGAATACATATAATCAATGACAATGTGCAGGTTGTACATGGAATTGGTTCAGTACTTATAGGGATACGTTTTAAGCGGTCATATCTCACTATATACACTGGTACATTGACACATTGTACATTGCTATTGTAGCATACTTCCAAATGTAAGTAAAAGGTTCAGATTATCCATGAGTTCAAAATCATAAAACGCGCATTCCATTTACATCCCACATCATATACACTTGCAAACGGTACCTGGGAAGTAATGCTAAAAACAGGGCTGTCATGGGAAGGCAAAGTAAGTAGGACCTAGGGGATAAAATAGTATAACCGTGCTAAATATTTTTTTGAGAAGCGATATTTTTCAAACAGTCTAGACTCCCATGGACTTTTTCTATCATTGCATGAGCTATCTATTTGGAACATTGCCATGAATTAACCGATGTTTCTGCCCATATTAACCCATTAAGTGTCAGCACTCTCCCCCTTGACAAGCAAAGTCTGGACTCTGGCGTTAGAGTAAAATAACAAAGTAGGGCGCAACACACGAGTACGACTAACAGGGTTAACAGACACATTATATTGTATGCAGATAGACTGATTAAACCTTACAGTACAGTATGCTCAGCAACACTAAACAACATGGCATCAAAGAAGCAACTAATGTACCTGGAAAATAGTTGATATCAATAACTCCTATTCGTCTGGATTTTCTTTCAACTATGACGTCGACGCCGAATAAGGTTAGGCGCTAAAACGTAAAAGTTGAACGTAAAATTTTGATTCATTTACATAATCTTCGAACCAGACGACTTGACAAGTTTTTTTAACAAAGACTGAATGCTCTGGAACTGTGGCAAAATAGCCATGCACCAATGCATATAAATGAATCTACAGATAAAAATCGAACTGGCTTCAAAGAAAGGACTCCCAGGTTGAAGATCTTGGCAAGATCATGTAAGATCTTGCATGATCTTGGCAAGACACTAATCTTGGCAAGATCTTGCCAAGATATTACCAATATCTTGCCAAGATTATTCAATCTTGCCATACTTGCCAAAATCTTGCCAAGATTGTCTGAAATTCTTGTCAAGATCTTGCCAAGATCTTTCATGATTTTTCTTCATACATAATTCTTGCTGAGTTGTAGTTTTCGACCTTCATAAGTATAGATATAATGAATCTTGATCAAACCAATCACATATATCACAATATTGCCAATACTCTATCATGATGTTGCCATGATCTTGGAAGATCTTGTCAAGATCCCACCATGATCTTGCCAAGATCCCACCATGGTCCTTGCCAAGATCTTATCGCAATCTTGCCAAGATTCTATCATAATCTTGCCATGATCTTGGACAATCTTGGCAAGATTTCACCACGATCTTCCCAATATCTTATCAAAATCTTGCCAAGATCCTACCATAATCTTGCCATGATCTTGAAAGATCTTGTCAAGATTCCACCATGATCTTGCCAAGATTCCAGCATGATCTTGCCAAGATCTTATCACAATCTTGGCAAGATTCTATCATAATCTTGCCACGATCTTGGACAATCTTGGCAAGATTTCACCATGACCTTCCCAATATCTTATCAGAATCTTGCCAAGATCCTACCATAATCTTGCCATGATCTTGGAAGATCTTGTCAAGATTCCACCATGATCTTGCCAAGATCCCAGCATGATCTTTCCATGATCTTATCACAATCTTGGCAAGATTATATCATAATCTTGCCATGATCATGGACAATCTTGGCAAGATTTCACCATGATCTTTCCAATATCCTATCAAAATCTTGCCAAGATCCTACCATAATCTTGCCATGATCTTGGAAGATCTTGTCAAGATTCCACCATGATCTTGCCAAGATCCTAGCATGATCTTGCCAAGATCTTATCACAATCATGGCAAGATTCTATCATAATCTTGCCATGATCTTGGACAATCTTGGCAAGATTTCACCACGATCTTCCCAATATCTTATCAAAATCTTGCCAAGATCCTACCATAATCTTGCCATGATCTTGGAAGATCTTGTCAAGATTCCACCATGATCTTGCCAAGATCCCAGCATGATCTTGCCATGATCTTATCACAATCTTGGCAAGATTATATCATAATCTTGCCATGATCATGGACAATCTTGGCAATATTTCACCATGATCTTTCCAATATCCTATCAAAATCTTGCCAAGATCCTACCATAATCTTGCCATGATCTTGGAAGATCTTGTCAAGATTCCACCATGATCTTGCCAAGATCCTAGCATGATCTTGCCAAGATCTTATCACAATCATGGCAAGATTCTATCATAATCTTGCCATGATCTTGGACAATCTTGGCAAGATTTCACCACGATCTTCCCAATATCTTATCAAAATCTTGCCAAGATCCTACCATAATCTTGTCATGATCTTGAAAGATCTTGTCAAGATTCCACCATGATCTTGCCAAGATTCCAGCATGATCTTGCCAAGATCTTATCACAATCTTGGCAAGATTATATCATAATCTTGTCATGATCATGGACAATCTTGGCAAGATTTCACCATGATCTTTCCAATATCCTATCAAAATCTTGCCAAGATCCTACCATAATCTTGCCATGATCTTGGAAGATCTTGTCAAGATTCCACCATGATCTTGCCAAGATCCCAGCATGATCTTGCCAAGATCTTATCACAATCATGGCAAGATTCTATCATAATCTTGCCATGATCTTGGACAATCTTGGCAAGATTTCACCACGATCTTCCCAATATCTTATCAAAATCTTGCCAAGATCCTACTATAATCTTTCCATGATCTTGCAGGATTTATGTAAGATCTTGGCATGATCTTGCTAAGATCTTGGATAAGATCTTGGATAAGATCTTGGATAAGATCTTGGCATGATCTTGCTGGGATCTTGCCAAGGATCTGGGCTATACTACAGTATAAAGTCTAGAAACGTGACTGCTGGTTATACATTCACATCAAGCTGGTTGCAAAACATATATCACAGGCAAAATTATAAATATTCAAATATCAAATGAATTATAAAAATAAAAAGACAGGATTCATGCACCATGCGACCCGAATGACCTCATACATATACCATGTAGATTATAAACAACCCAAAAAAACATTACAAATTTTGGAGAAAAGCTATAATCAAAGTCATTGATAACTCACCATTCGTCTTTTAAGTATATCTACAAGTTTTTTAACGATTTTTTCATCTGGTGACGACGGTTTGAAAATGGGCTTTTCTAACTATATAAGACAAAAATTAAAAACTATGTACAAAACGCTGTTTTCTGGTTGTTTTTTTAAAACCCGCCAGAAGTTGACTTTGTTACCTGATTAAGGAAAGATGAGGAGTCTGGTTTCGACACGTCATGACTGTGGAAGAATATTGTTTCAAAATCTAAATAGAAATTTTAAATCCGAGTGCTGGGTGCAGGTAATCAACATGAGCACGTGCTAGCCGATACTGTCCAATTTTAAAAGATTAATTCCTAAATTTAGGACCCTATTAAATATAGCGGACTTTTCATTGGGGGGAGGGGTTGACGCAACACTACACGTCGCAGGTGCTGATTTCTTTACACTACAGTAGGGCAAAAAAAAAAATATGTGGGTTTCCGGTTTCTTCTTATAAAAACTAGGTAGGGTAGGTCGGTTTTAACTTTTTTTTTTAAACTTTTGTTTTAATTTTCCGAACAAGCGGACGCCATTTTGTTTAGTCAGTGATTCCACATCCAAAGATAAATTTCCCTAATATTGCCTCAAAATTCAATTTTCCACAAACTTTTTCCTCTAAGTGGAAACACTTACAAGCATGATCCAATAAAAAAGTTTAGGGTCGGGATTTCGACGTCCAAAAGCTAGGTAGGGTCGGGAAACCGGAAACCCACATATTTTTTTTTGGCCTAGTTGTATTTTAATTGATATATACATAATATATTAATTAATTTTTTCAATGTACTATAAATATATACCTCCAGGTTGAAGATTTTTGATTGATGGCCTTTCACTAATGTAATGTTTGTTCCCAATGACAAAAACCTAGGACACAAACATAATAAAATATACACGTGTCAGCATAAAATTCTCACTTTCTAATTCTTAATTTACACGTGTTGTATAACTTACATGTATGCCATGCTAAACGCACAATTATATCATTATTATTATTATTATTATCGTTATTCATTTCTTTAGAGATTGATTGTTTGCACAGTCGATGAACACGAAATGAACAGAATTTTGGCCGGGGTGCCAATTTTGGCCGGGGCCCCGGTCGAGCCCTGAGTACTGTATCAGACGATTCTTTCCTGAAAACCAATTCAATTTCAAAAAGCGTGGACATAATTTACAGTTCTGGATTCGAGACAGTGATCAATAACCACTTCTGATGTTATTGCATGGTTGGTTACTTTTAGAATGGATCATTACAGATGGTCGCAATCATGCAGAGACCTGCAGATATACTCAGTCTGTAAATCTGGATCTTAGATTCCATTTCTTTTACTGACTGCCTGAGATAATTTGTGATAGATAATAAGCAGAACAAAACTAAACCAAAAAACACAATCCAACACGTGAAGAACGTTAAAAATATTCACCTTATACAAAATGGCATTATGATTGACAAATTCTTGACAGACGCATGGTGGATTGATATCTTGTAGCCCTTCTTCATTGAAAATAATACTCATCTGGTAGAAAACACAATTTGGTTAATCAATTTTCATTCATTTTTTGGTGATTATACACAAAATTTAGATGAAATTAGATCATTATTTGACGTTACCTCGTGTGATTCATCAGAACCATGTGCAAGATTCGTCTTGCATACTGAAATAAAAAAGAATAGTAGGATTTAACTAGCTCTTCCATGTGTGACGGATAATGGGAAAACAGCTTTTAACTGTTATTTTTCTACAGTACATAATCTTTATAACTATTGTACCATATTTATTGTACTGATTGTAAGCTTTGTATAATAAGTTGCCAAATTAAAAAAAAACACATTAATGACATTATGTAGGTTTTAAGACAGTGCAGAGGCAATAACGTTTAAATGACAATGCACCCTGATTAGCATTACTTTATTATTTTATTCCGACTTCTAATTCCAGATGATTTTACTTGTCAAGGAGAGAGTGCTGCCACTCAATGGGTTCATTAAAGGTAGGAATGCAAACAGTTAAAATGCATTGGGCTAGAAGGCTGCAGTGTAGTGTTACAGTTAATACTATATTATACTTACTGAACGGAAACTTGATATTTGCGAGATGCAGTGCTTTAAGATTTTCTCTCTTGTCCTGACTTTCCAGGGTGACAAAGTTGGGTATAAATGCTTCACCATCTAAAAAATGTTTCATGCATTAACAATTCAGATATGTACCAACTGGATAGTAATGTGCTACAGGGTTTGAATAAGCACTATAAATTCACAATTTTTAATTACTTAAGGTTGGTCTAATTAACAATTCAAATATTATTTGGTCAAATGATGCATATGAATCATATGATGATAGAGGTACACTGTTATTATTATTAAAACATCTTTATACACGGTAGCTAATCAACTATAAAATATTTAAGGTTTTCGTTGCTTTTCATTAGGCTGTATAGTTACAAACAGTATAAGAAACTCCCATCCACCCTCCCCATCATAATAACAGTAAAATATTCACACTCAAACCCCACCCAAATAAGATAAAAGATAATTCAAGAATTTTTATTTCTCTCATTCCAAACTTTAGCAGCAGCGTAACCAAAAGTATGTTTCATTGAATTTGTTTTAGGGTTTCTGTTAGTCTAACAAAACCCAACATCGCCAGCTTTGAGAGCTCTCGCAACAACCTACTGTATGTAGAATTTTAAATGTGAAATGAAATATACAAACTCAACAATGCTCAATGGTCATACTGTATATTGTACACCCAACAAACCCCAACACAACTCAACATCCAACAAATCTCAACATCCAATAAAGAGAGACCAAGTAAAATAATAAGGTGGGGCACAATGCAACTTAATGGGTTAAAAAATGTATTACTGTACTATTCAGCCCGGCAACACAGTACCTTCATCTTTGAATTCACATTCTCTCATGATTGGATAATAGACGGACCTATCACTGAGTAGACGAACGGATTCTATTGGGTCAATGACCACAACTTCTGGGTGATCACCAATAAATGTCTGAAATGAAAAAAAATAATATAACCCTGTGGGAATTCTGTACTGTCACAAAATTATTACCCGACTGTGAAGAGATAGTTTACAGCTCAAATATATGGCTCTGTTGGTTCACAACTCAGGGGACAGTGTCTCTATCTGGATAATGGCAAATGGTGGCCATGCAATAATGGATATTATTATATATCAATAGTCAAAGTCTCATTTTTCTAGTGTTTTATTGGTTGAGAGCATATCACGTGAGAGTGACGAAATTAGGCTGTCTCCCTCACAACAGCGTGAGAGGGAGATAATACGTTATCGACCGGCAAATAACAAAAAACATCACGTGCGCCATCACGTGAAGATGCGACCTTTGGACATGCCTAGTACGTAATTAAAACTTTCGCTTTAATAAGTAACTGCAGTGTAGCCAGTGTTTAATATAACGTTTTAACAATAAATATTTCATGTATTTACGTTCATTTGTTCTTTAATTTGTTGTTTCTTTGACTATTGATATATAATAAAACACTTATTTACTGAGACCTCGGGAAAGCAGTGTGTTTTGTGGACCCTCGACCGTCGATGTTTCCCTCGGTTTCGCCTCGGGAAACATCAACGGTCTCGGGTCCACAAAACGCACTGTTTCCCTCGGTCTCAGTAAATAAGTGATAAATGTCCTCAAGGTGAGCTGGCATGATGCAGTGAATCAAATTGTGATGCTTGCACACAGACATGTTGACACAACAGATATATGATTTCAGAATATATGTACTTTCAACAAATTCAATGTTACCATTATTTGTAACCAATGATAATTCTTCGAAATTGTCACATTTCTTGTCATTCCAACTTTACAGTCGGAACTACAGTACTGAATTAACAGTAGGTGAAAGCGTTGCTATTCCGGCTGACAAAAAAACATAATGATTGTAGCTTTGCCTGAACTTCAGCACCAGACTGCAGAGTTGGGCACTTTTTTATGAGATCTCGGGTGCGCAAATGTTAGAAAATTGTGCGCAAAACAATTCCCAAGTGTGCATCAAGATACAGTCAAGGGCACAAAAGTAGCCAGATACGGTACGTGTTAAAAACAATAAAGATTTGAGGGCAGATATTAAATTGCAAAAATTGTTATAAAGTACCCTCCAGTAGAAATTCATATTTTTAATTCAACGTTTCGACTACTGTTGAGTCATCATCAGGTGCGCTGAAATTTCTGCCTAAAAATATATCGAGTGTGACATTGACTGACTCAGCTGCAGTCTGGCTTCAGCACACAGCAATAGCTGTGAACAGATATACTGTATATTAGATTTTTGCACTACCTCAATCTTTTGTACAGCTTTGAAAGCTTGCAGGTCACCATTCTCAGCAGCAGCAATGAAATCGGTTACTTTGTGAATCAGAACATCCACAGGACCTTGGTCTATCCATGGTTTTGATAAATCAATCTAAAGAAGCAATCTTGAATTAAGTATTACACACTGTATATTGTCTGTGTGCCTTTTGTGCAGTGGTTGCCAATATTATTTCCTGAAACAGACAATGCCTGAGTGCCCCCCACAGTATAATATATATCCCCTTAATTAAACAATGTTACTGGCAACTAGCTCTAAATCTGTTGAAGTTGATTTCATTATGACCAGAAATGATTCATTAACCCATTGGGTGCTAGCGATCTCTCTTCAAGCCTGAAAATATTTTTTTCATGAGTACTAACATTATGTCAAGCCACTTCTCACTTAAGTGTTGACCATCAAAAATATCATATTACAATAATTAATTAATATAAGACGCCATATTGAACATGTAAATGTATATTTACATGTGGCCCAGTAGCAAGCCAGTGTATTGTGCGGGGGAGATATTGCCCGTGCAATTTTGATGCTTTCTATATATTCACTATTAAATTTTCGAAATCTCTACCACACAATTTCCAAACTTTCCAGTCAGGGATAGCAAGTACAAAAAAAAGACTAGGGCAAATTGTATTATGACAGTTTTCACATGATATTTTCATCAAAAAACTAATTTATACTACAATGTGCACTGTTTAGATAGCTTTGTTTACATTAAAAAAAAATATTAACAGTATGTATCTTTCACTTTTCATCAATAATACTATAGCAATATTACGATAGCAGACATGCTCCATTTACACTTCCCACTTTAAATTGGAACAGGGGCTTAGCTAGAAGGCCGTGTTATAGCAGCCAAAAATGGAAAAACACAGCTAGATGAAATAAACACGGCTTCATTATTTATTTTTGGCCGTGTAGGTTCATAAAATAAGTTGAACATTGCTACTTACAAATACAGAATTTATTTGTAAATCTACTATAGCTGTCTTAGGCATACTGGGCTGATGCAAGCTTTCTAGGGGGGCAGATGAAAGTTTGCCCGAATTTTTATGGAGGATTGTAATGAAATTACCTGAATTTAACCTATTTTCTGATAAATCTGCCCAAATTTTCTTGATTTTTCGAACAATTTGCCCGAATTTTCACGGTTTTCCAAAATGGGGGATTGCCCCCTGTCTCGTATGCCTATGGTAGTTGTTGAAATTTGTAAAAGTGATCTGTGACGTTTTAATGTTTTGATGGATAGTCATAGTGGGCGCCACATGGTTGTTAAAATGGCTTTAAATGCCCCAAGAGTTGCTAAAATAACTTATTATAATGCCAGTGCAAAATATGAGCGTACGCTCATCTTGTATTTGGTTGAAAAGCATAGAACAACCACAGGTATGGTCCATTGTTCACGAGCATAACTGGAATCATGTTTTTAGCTATTGAAGGTGATTGACATGGGCACACCCTGGAAACTTAGAAACATACCCAAGATATAAAATGCTAGCTAAGACCCTGAATTGGAATAGCCCATCAACCCTTTAAGTGGCAATGCGCCCTACTTTATAATTTACTCTGTCTAACGGCAGACAATTTTACTTGTCAGATGGAGAGTGCTGCCACTCAATGGATTAATGTGGTACCGATGTGCAGTTCCTATGATCAATAGGCAAGTTGAATCAAAGACAATACTGCCGCCATATTGTTTGAAAAACAATTACCGAACTTACATGAGTACATTCATGGGTATACTCAAGCAAATTTCAGTAGCATCTGTTTATCATTATACAACATATCATATTCCCACATGTAGGAGCACCCACAAAAACAGGAAGCAAGGAACTATAGGAGATCTGGCTTGAAAATTTTAGATTGCATGTTACTGCCAGAAAAAATGGCCAGTCCACCTCAGCAATAATATAGTGATTAAATCTAACGACAGTCAACCCGTTGTTTGGATGCTCATTATCTATAATGCTATTCCAAAATACTCATTACCAATGTCAATGATTCAGCCCTGATCCTAATTGGAAAGTACAATTACAAAATATAACGAAATTCAGATATTCGATCGAAGCACACAAAATTAGATACGTACCTCAATGATTTCGAACCCAGCTTGACTAAATTGGGTATGGAAGAAAGTATGAAAAAGTTACTCAACAGACAACACGCCCGAATAATTATAATAAATATATAAACAATATTCACAGTGTTTGATCGCTGACCTGCATAATGTTAAAAAGCTCTCAAAATTTAGCTTATATTTCTTCTTTTTACTAAGCCAGAACGCCAGCTTTCTCGGACTGGATAGAGATCCAGCCTCCCTTACAGGTGAACAACTCATTTAACGCTTTTGTAAAACATATTTTCTATAAAAGTGTTTCAAGTCCTCGACATTCCAGTCTGTTCGTGTCGTTCATCGGTTCGTGTTTTCCGTTCTGAAATCTGATGCCCCCTCCCCCCCGGATATCTGGGGGCGTGCCACATGGTGAATAGAATTTTCCAGAGGGTAAAGGCGGTTTTCCACTAAGCGAAATTTTTCGACCGAATCGAAATTTTCTTACAAGTACTCAGATGGAACTAAACAGAAATCTTTTGTATTTGAAAAACGGAAATTTCGGTTCGATCGAAAAATTTCGCCTAGTGGAAAACCGCCTTAAAGAGGGAAATAGAATTTTCCAGACGGGAATGGACCTATTCCCTAATGAACAAAATTTTGATCTAGACAAGTCTAGACAAAAATTTCACCACAGCTTGAAAGAACATCACAAAATTAGTAATATTCCGAAGTTTCGTTGTGGAATGTTGTAAAATGCGGATAATATAGCTCTGCGAAGTTTGCCGTTTTTCAGTCATTTTGTATTACGCACGGGAAATTGATACCGCTTTTTGAAAAAAGGTGTCAATTTCCCGTGCGTATTACTGTAAATACAAAATGACTGAAAAACGGCAAACTTCGCAAGGCTATATTATCCGCATTTTACAACATTCCTCAACGAAACTTCGGAATATTACTAATTTTGTGATGCTCTTTCAAGCTGTGATGAAATTTTTGTCTAGACTTGTCTAGATCAAAATTTTGTTCATTAGGGAATAGGTCCATTTGTACTGGGAAATTTCTCTGGGGCCAGTTGTTCAAAGCTGGATTAGCTTAACCTAGGTTAACCTAAAATTCAAGGCAAACTTCCTGACAGCTTGTCTATAAATTTGGAAATATTTCTTCAGAGATCTTGTTCATGTCTGGATCGATAGGAGTTTACTTCTCTGAAGTTTTGAAATAAACAGACGTGCAGAAATACATAAACTAAAACAGCAGGTTAATTTTTTACCCAGGGCAGCGCTAACCCACCTTTCAACAACCGGTCGGCTCTGATGTATAAAATAAATAAAAACGAGATAAAATATGGATTTATAGACAGATGCTCTGCATGTGATAGAAAAGGTGCAAGTCATGATTATAAAGGATAATAGGAAATCAGCCTACGCAGGATACAAAGGGTACTATTACAAATATACTATATAAAGAGATACTATATATAGAGATTCCTACGTAAAGAAATACTATATATGGGATAAATGATACTATACTTTTCGTCGACTTTTTGAGCATAGGGTTTGCGGAGAATGGAGATTTTGAGAAAAATGATGGAATACATGGCCAGTGTGACCAGACCTGGACCAGACTTTTTTATAGTAGCAGTCATTACCAAAATTTTGTTCAAATTTTACTAAATTAAGAAAAATTTGACCAAATGTCGGCTTCCCAAATAATTACGTCATGATAATGCCAAAAAAAACAATAGTTACGTCATCAAAGTAGAAAAAATATTCACAAAAAGTGTCTCGAAATACTTGTTGCTTTCATCGTATTGCAGTTTTTGCTAATGATAAGGCTTTATTTCTTAGGCTTGGCAGTTCTGTTCATCACTTTGAGCACGTTATTAAACAAAAAACACACATTTTTACCAACTATTTTTAATAATTCAAACCTTTCAGACCTTTCAGATTTTACCAAAATTTTACCAAGAGAAACTCATTACCAAATTTTCTTGAAAATTCACGAAATTTTACCAAAAATAAAACTTTTTACCAAATTCATTACACTATATGCCCGCGGGGGCGGCAGCCCCCCAGTTTTTTGGGCAGTCGGGCAATATTCGATCAACAGTCGGGCAATTTCGGTTTGCCAAAAAAAAAAAATGGGACAAATTCTGTTAATTTTGTCTTGATCAAAGGAAACCAGCTCTGCACTGTCTGCAGACTATATTGGGAGTGAATATTTCCTCGGCCCCCTCCTGCCTAGTTGCCACTGAGCTGTATTATACACGTTATTATTAGAGTTCACTGATTATACAGCTCAGTGGTAGTTGCATCCACCCCCCGGAAATTAATCGTCGCCGGAAATATTTCGCGCTCATTCATCGCCAAAAATGTCTGGTATAATTTACAAACAATATTCGATGTTGCTAAGCAACAGCGTAGTCACAATCAAAGAAGAAGCAAGAAAGACAATCATGGAGGCCGAAGGTCTACATTTAAACATCGATTATGTCGGCAGTAGCGGCGTTATTTTGAGCACTGAACAGAAGGCTGCCTTCCAGTCATCTCTGGTCATTTTAAAAAATAACTACAAGTTCAAAAGAGTTTTGTTTTGGGGCAAAATTCTTGGTGTGAAGGATGACTATTTTATCGTCGAGGGCATTCGCAAAGACGAACTCAGAGACAGACAAATTTTATACAGGTGAGAATATAAAAAAGTCCAGTATGGGCCAGACAGCTTTCCTGACAAGTTTAATTACTAAGGACTGTTTTTACGTTTGTGAGAAAAATCAAAATTTTAACCTATTAAAATAATATTGTACTTTTGCACTGCTGTTTATATATAAACCTGACAGACAAATGTGTGAAAGCTCATCCTGCATGTATGCTAGCTGGCCTAGGCATTTAATGGGTGGGTATACGGGTGTCACTTATCAAATTGCACCAAGTTAAATGCAATTATCTGCACCCCAAACCAGTATTTATACCAGCCCCAGAAATGATTTGCACCCCTGTAAAAGGCATTTGGCACCGCCCCCAAAACTTTTTGCACCCCCGCAAATTATATATATTTTGATTTGATAGTTTCATATTTGATTATTCTAACTACTAAATTTGTAAAATTACCAATATATTTATGGTCTCAGATCTCGCTACTCAGGCCTAGAAAACAACGAGGTCAAGTTGGTTCGAGTGTGTGGTATTTTGGAATCGAAGGCTAGACTATTAAATACAAATTTTTACTTCTATTGGACTGTTACGTCATGTCAGATAGATAGATAGTGATGTAGCGACATGGAAATTTACCAATATTCCTATAATCAATGAAACCAGATGTTCACCTGCATTCGACTTATTAATGTAGTTTTTGATACACTAACACTGCCACACTTGCATGTGAACAGTACACATACATAATTATATACTGTACAAATTGGAATGCCTTAATACAAGTATTTTGTTTTGCGTTAGTGTTGACTGTGTGAAATGGGGCCTGCTGCCTCAAGTGACGGAAGAGATGAGACAAAACTGTTCTTTTGTGAAGGGAAGATTTACAGGAGATCCATCGTATGAATATGAACATACAGAAACTAAGAGAAATGAAGACAGAGATTCTGATCCGGATCAAGATGAAGAAACTACAGTAAGTTTGGTGATTGCATGGGTATATATAGAAATAAATTGTTTGGCTCCCAATTAGGGTCCCTCAGTACTGACGTCAGATTATTTATATACTAGCCTCTGCTTGAGGTTATGTTTTCACCTGCATTTGTATGTCTGTCTGTCTGTTTGTGTGCATGCATGTGCTTGTCTGTCAAACATTAATTAATATGTGCATGAAACCCTGGGAATCAGTGCTTCCACATTAAAATTTTCAATTTCCATATATGAAAGCAATTACCAATAAATTACAAATGCAGGAATTAAATTATGCTATCCCAAAATATCACAATTTATCTCGCATATAATTTGGGACCTAGCTGGTGTGAATTTTAAACTTGGGATAAAATTGATAAGAACTATATGATATAAGAACAATAAAATTGAATAGAACAATAAAATTGATATAAAGAACAAACCATTGCCTATAAGTAAAGTAGTTGGCAGTCCAGAGTTGGACTTTATGTACAAAATCATTTTCAATTATACAATTTAACTCCATATGTAACCAGTAACTGCACCCTGACCTAACTATCCTTTGTGCAGTGCAGTTCAATCATGTGTGTACTTGTCTAGTTATTAAACTACCTGACTTACAGTTACAACTGTAAGGATTTAACTATACACTTACTGTAGTTTAATTAATTGCTAACTACGGTACAGTATATGATTGGATAAATATATCAGGATTTGTTAAAATTTTGGACATCTCACTTGCAATTGATCAGACCTTCCAACTCTCACGCATTTTGCGTGATCGAGACACACGCATTTGACATATTTCTCACGCTCACACGCATATAAACACTATTTTCTCACGCAAAAGCGAAAAAATAGGAAGCTATCCAACTTTTGTTTTAACGCTTCTCTTCGCAAGCAAATATTCCTATTTAGCTGAATCAATAGCTATAAAATAAAGTATTTTTCGAGCAGTTGCTGTGTAACGTATAGTATTACATAAGTTGCACTATTGGGCAATAGTAAATTGACACTTAGTTATAATGAGGGATTTCCCCAGACAACGCTTTTTGTAAAATATAAACTGTAATCTTATTAATTTCGTGTGATGAATTAGCATTATAACACATTAAAAGCAGCTAAATCTGCTACTTATGAATACAACAAAGCACATAAGCGCAAGCTATAACTCATTAACATTTAAATTTAGAATGACTTTTACTTTTTAAACAATATTAACGAAATAAAAAATAAATGAAACTTATAATTGCAATTGCAGATGTCCAAAAAGTGTTACTTTTGAGATTTTTAATGCCATTTTTGTACCTTTAGAATTCTGTTAATCTTCTCCCAAAATGCAGGAAATGGCATTTCAGAGACTCCAGATTTAAAAATTTTCCGGGGGGGGGGCATGCACCCGAACCTCCCTAGGTCAACGCCTGCCAACGGCAGGCGCCAGCACGCCGTCGGCGGGCTATACGACTCAGATTACAGGAAATAACTATATCTCACTCATTTTCATGCCACAAAGTTGGAAGGTCTGACAGCTAGAACAGCGTGTTAAAATTTGTCTAGAAGTTACTATCGCAAGGGAAATGCTGCCTCATCCCCCAAGCCGATTAAAGGCAGCATGCACAATTTGCTGAATAAGGGGGGCTGTTTATATGATCCCGCTTTGCCAGGAGATATGAGGCAGGATGATTTTGATGTGCTTAAAGGCACAGTTCAGCCTTTTGAATGATGGTTTTTAAGGCGCATTTCAGCCCTTTTA